TTTCAACAGCAACAGTAAATCATGTCCTCAAAATTGTGAGGACAATTTATTTCTAATCCAGAATTCTGCACCCAGCAGAACCATCAGTCAAAGTTACTGGACTACACACTCTGCCAAAATAAGGAAATAAATCAAGAGCGAGGGTGAGGGGTGGGGTAGGGGATCCTGAAAACTGACTCCAACCCAGGAAGAAGGCAAAGGAAGTTCCTAGGATGGTGGTAGAGCAAAGTCCCAGGACAACAGGAACTCAGACCTGGAGGGTGAGCAGTCCGGGTCGTCGGAGCCCAGGTGTTACAGAACAAACAAGGGGGGCCTGGGACGACATACTATTATTGAAAAAAAGCCCCCAGGTCCGTCATGTCTGCCGCCAGAGGAAAGACGTCTCTCAATGCCAGAGATTTGTGAAAAGGAAAGGAAATGTTTATTTAATGCTATACAAACTTAAAGTAGTGACCTAATGTCTTTATCAAAAAAATCCTAAAGTCCCTTAAAACACCCACAAACAGACACAGTCCTTCCTTCCTTCCCCCTTTGCCCAGTCCAGAGTACTGTATCTCAGGAAAGGAAATAGAAGTCCATGGCTCAGGCAGTCCTCTGGTTATTCCCAGTTAGTACTCGATCTCGACTGGGAGACCTCCCTGGGTTCCCGGCACCCTCAGCTGAGTCGCCGGGATCTCTGCTAAAACCAGGCGGTGGTTCCCCCTTCTAAAGCTGCGGGGGTCTCCACTCTGGCAAAGGCACGTGGTCCTCTCTCCCCGGACCATGGGAGTCCCCACTCTGCCAGAGCCGCATGGTTCTCCCTCTCAGGGCTGCGGGAGTCTCCACTCTGTCAAGGCCGCGTGGTTCTCTCCCTCAGGGCTGCGGGAGTCTTCACTCTGCTAAAGCTGTGTGGTTCTCTCTCTCCAACGGGTGTGATCCTCTCTGCACTTCCACAGCTGCATGGTTCTCTCTTGCAGGGCTGCGCGTGGTTCTCTCTCCAATGGCTGCTGCATCTCGGTTTAAATCCCCGTGCCAATCTTCCTCTGCAGCCCCATTTCCAACTCCTCCCACACTCGGCTTCGCATGCCAGAACTCATACCCTTCCAGCTTTACTGGGCTGCCACCATGAGTCTGGGCAGGTATGGTCCCATGTCCTCGAGCCAATCATCTCCAAGCTCCCACACAGATGCTGTAACTTGGGGGACCTGCCCCCCAGTTATGTCTCAGTGGGGTAGTTACTTCCATTCCCCTGGCTCAGAGCCTGGCCACAGCTATTTAGCATATCTAAGCGACCAGCCAAAGGCTATAGATATGTTAAATGACCACGCCAGAGGTTAGCTGCAAGGCTTTGCTATGCAAAACAGCTCTCAATGGCCCAGCTCCATTTGTCCCTTCCCCCAACCCACACCTGGGAGTGGGAGTGAGGACATCCAAAAATCCCCTGGATACCTTGAGTTCTGGGCCCCATTTCAAATGCCCATTTGGGGTCCCCACCTCTTGGCTGCACCCTGTAACACAGGGAGGAGGCCCCCAAGAGGGCGGGGCTGTGTTTCCCTAAGAAACAGGTAGACCTGTAAGATTCCCTACCTGGCATGTTCGACCAGGTTGAACCATTGTTGGGGGAATCGTTGGGGGGTAAATTAGCGATGGGTATGCAAGGAAGTTTTTCGGTTTCTTTTTTCGGTGAGGTGATTCATAACTTCTGGAAAAGCAGAAAGGTTGTCCAGTAAGGGAAATGGAACCTCAGCACACCGCAAGGCCCATCTTCGAATATCTGCATAGTCACGATAATTACACGCTGAACACTGACGCCCCCACAGCCAAACCTCCTGACTGAACGGGGAGAGGAGGAACAAGTGTGTGATCCAAGGGGTCAGAGGGGAGGGCGGCGAACCTTTATCCTCCATCGCAGGGGGCGGTAGATGATGTCTTAAAAGTAGGAAATCCGGATCAGAAGTGTCATTTAAAAATAAGGAGGCAGATGACAAACGTGCCGTCTAAAAGGTGTGAAAGAGTGGCTGTCTTTGGAAGCAAGAGTTGAGGCTGGGGCAGGGTGGGGCAGGGCACCGAGGTACCACGGTGTGCGTGACGTCTCCTGGGAGCCAGCTATTTGACTCTTTCATTTCATACAAGCATACGTGGAATAGAAATCAAAATTAAATTGAAGAAAGAAAAGATCCAACTGCACGCCAGTCTCTGAAGTCATGAGGAATAAAGCCAAGCTGGGAGCCCTTTCCACGGACCAGAGTAAAGGGAAAGGAGGCTTAAAGGGAAAGGGGGCCTTGACTTCTGCAGGACAACGGCGGCTTTTCTAGCCAGCTGAGCAGGAAGAGGAGCAGAAGGCCAAACCTGGGGTGTGGGGGGTGGAGTCTGTGAAGGGAGGACTGGTCCCAGGCGCTGGGAGGGGGATCCCTGCCAAGGAAGCAGAGGCGAGTGGCTAACAAGGGCTAACGAGGTCAAATGCGGCTTTGAGGTCCAGGGCAGTTAACATAAAAACAGACTGTTGTGCACTGGGATTTCACACCGTCCTGGGTCACCGCCCCCTTCACCCTCCAAAGAGGATTTTCTTTTTTAAAATATATTTTATGGATTATGCTATTACAGTTGTCCCATTTCCCCCCTTCACTCCCCTCCACCCTGTACACCCTCTCCCACCCATATCCCCCCCTTTAGTCATGTCCATGTGTCATACTTATAAGTTCTTTAGCTTCTACATTTCCCATACTATTCTTACCCTCCCCCTATCTATTTTCAGCCTATAATCTATGCTTATTCTCTGTACGTTTTCCCCCTCTCTCCTCCTCCCACTCCCCTGTTGCTAACCCTCCGTGTGATCTCCATTTCTGTGGTTCTGTTCCTGTTCTTGCTCGTCTGGTTCTGTGCTGTTCCCATTGCTTGAGGATTTCCAAAAAAGCAATGGGAACAGCAAAGAACCAGGCGAGCAAGCCTGGGAAAGCTCCCAGGTGCAGCGCATACCTCTGTCTGTGGCTTCTTGCTCTTTCTTATTCTCTGGTAGGCAGGAGACCTAGTTACCAGATAAAATACAGGCAATACTTGAGACATACTGAAATTGTTATTTATCTGAAACTCAAATTTAACTGGCTGTCCTGTGTCTTCATATGCTAACCCTAGTAACCTCGGGAGGCTAGCCTGCCTTGGACAAAAGCTTGGAGCATCTCAGCCTCGTAAATTGAGACTTTGCTGTGGGCCACGCCCACCAGCCCCCTGCCATTGGTGGAGGAAGGGAACACCAAGGTTGTAAGGCTCAGAGGGTGGGCCTAGGACACCCAAGTCTGGAGACAGCAGGATTTTTCAATGAACTGTCCTTCGAGTCAGAAACCACCCTAAATCCTTCCTATAAAGGGAGTTGGTTGAGTTCGTGTCTTCATAGGGCCCCCAGGGGCAAATCTGGCGCCAGGAAAAGCACTCAGAGCCTGTCCTCCTGAGGGCACATGAGGTCAGGTCCGCACCTCCGGGGTGAGAACAGAGGGAGACTTCCGTGTCCTTCTTCTGCGATTGTTGCCACAAGCACGTACTACTTTTAGAATCAGCAAAAGGCACTCAAGACGTTTCCATATTGAAAACCAAATAAAGTAAGGCTGCAGTGGACCAGAAATCTGTGCGGCCCCTCCAAATCCATGATTCTATAATTCTAAGTAGTTTCTTTCTTTATTTGCGCATCATTTCAGGAGCATTAGGTGATGCAGCCTTCTTGGGGTTTTTTTGTTTTTATTGCCCGAGGACCCTGAGCCTGCCACTCACTCACTCACGACTCAAGCCCTCTGCCCCGAACGCTGCTCCCACTGTGCAGCACGTCACTGGCCCTACTCTTGGAGGTCCCCTGCTTTGGCGTGGCCAGGTCCAAGACTCTAGGCTCATTCCTGGCCTAGGGGACTCCCCAGGTGACCTGTGCTGAAGCCGAGGGAAGGCGGTAGGTGAGAGCTCACAGACCTTAGCAAATCCTGAGAAGGGGAGGTGTGTCCCCACACTCCGGGACAACTGTCTCTCCCAGCACACTAGACCCTCTCCCTACAAGAGCCCCTGCTGGGAAGTTCCCGGGGAGGATGGAAAATGCCCCATCCGTATGCAGCATAAGGTAGAGTCACAGAAGAGAGAGGGCCCACTCCTGGGTCACCAAACCTACCTGGGTGGAGCCCTAGTGCCACCTCCTACCAGCCTTGTGACCTTGGGCAGGTCACTTAACGGAGGCCAGGCCACCCTGAGGATTAAATGAGATAATGTCCCCTGAAAGATGGACATTATCAAAGAAGGGGCTTTGAGCTTTTCTTTATTTACTTATTTTTAGAGAGGGAGAGAAGCATCGATCCGTGGCCTCTCGGCTGCCCCCCAACTGCATGCAACCCAGGCATGTGCCCTGACTGGGAATCGAACCAGCCACCGTTCCGTCCGCAGGCCGGAGCTCAATCCACTGAGCCACATTAGCCACGGCGAAAGAAGGAGCTTTTCATCTGCTGTGCCCGCAGACCCCTGAACTGCTGTGGAAGTTTCCCCCACCCTTCCAAGGACACCCTCCCTGCTTGGTGTCCGCGCGGGGCATCACCGGCCCCGGGAGCAGTGACTTGGCCTCCCGGCTCAGGCCAGGCCGCCTGGCCCACGACCTTGGAGGAACCCGGGAGAAAGCTTCACCAGGCGACAGTACTTTTCCACTGCACTGCTCAGGCCACCTCAGCTGGCTTTCTGCTGTGCAGACAGGAGGCAAAACGAGCAGGGCCGGCCCCATCAGGAACCCACCCCAAATCCCTGGTAGAAATGGGGTAAGGACATGTCGCGCTGAGCGGCAGGGGGGGAATCCTAGAGAGAGCGGAGAGGGGTCCCTAGTGAGGCTAAGGGAGACTTGCAGACCACGAGCGAGGCCAGCGAAATTTGCATTGGCAAAGCCCTCCCGTACATTTCAGGAGATGCCTACCTTCACCGCCCCTGCCACCCCCACCGATCCAGCAATAATGATCAAACCCGGTCTACCGCGCCTGTGCCGGGTCTCGGGCTAGGAGCAGCGCTAGCCTGCGAGGGGGAGGAGAAAGAGGACGACGAGGGGAGGGGACGCGAGAGCCAGCGGTCCCGCCCGGTGATGCAGGCAGCCCAGGGAGGTGGAGCCGCGACGCCTGAAGGAGTCCCCACCGCAGTCGCGCTCTCTGTCTACCTCCACGGAGCAGCCGCCCGCCGGCCCCGGCTCCGGAGACCTCCCCGGACGCCTCGATCTGGGCGGCGGGGACCGCGGGGTCCCCCCTGTTCGGGCTGGGGGCGCCTCCGCCGCACCCAGCCCCTGCCCCTCCTTGCTTCCCGGACGGCCGAGCGACTCCCGGGGGGGGAGCTATTCCCGGACTCTCGGCCGCCGCCCGAACATCTCGGCTGCCAACCCGCTGGGCACAGGGCATCAGCGAAGCCAGCCTCCGCTGACCACCTCCGAGCACTGACTGTCTCCCGCGCCGCCAGCTTCTCGCGACCCCGGGGCCGTGGACTTCTTGCCCTCCCCTCCCCGGCTGCTGGCCAAGACGCCCGCGAGCTCCCGGCGCCCCCAGGCCCCCCTGGCCGCCGCTGCGATGCTGCCCTGGAGACGTGACAAATTCGTGCTGGTGGAAGATGAGGCCAAGTGCAAGGCGAAGAGCCTGAGTCCGGGGCTCGCCTACACGTCGCTGCTCTCCAGCTTCCTGCGCTCCTGTCCCGACCTGCTGCCCGACTGGCCGCTGGAGCGCCTGGGCCGAGTGTTCCGCAGCCGGCGCCAGAAAGTGGAGCTCAACAAGGAGGACCCGACCTACACCGTGTGGTACCTGGGCAACGCCGTCACCCTGCACGCCAAGGGCGACGGCTGCACCGACGACGCCGTGGGCAAGATCTGGGCGCGCTGCGGGCCCGGTGGGGGCACCAAGATGAAGCTGACGCTGGGGCCGCACGGCATCCGCATGCAGCCGTGCGAGCGCGGCGCGGCGGGGGGCTCTGGGGGCCGCAGGCCGACGCACGCCTACCTGCTGCCGCGCATCACCTACTGCACGGCGGACGGGCGCCACCCACGCGTCTTCGCCTGGGTCTATCGCCACCAAGCGCGCCACAAGGCCGTGGTGCTGCGCTGCCACGCCGTGCTGCTGGCGCGGGCGCACAAGGCGCGCGCCCTCGCCCGCCAGCTCCGCCAGACCGCGCTGGCGGCCTTCAGCGACTTCAAGCGCCTGCAGCGCCAGAGCGACGCGCGCCACGTGCGCCAGCAGCTCCTCCGCGCCGGGGGCGCCGCTGCCTCGGTGCCCCGCGCCCCGCTGCGCCGGCTGCTCAACGCCAAGTGCGCCTACCGACCCCCGCCCGCCGAGCGGGGCCGTGGGGTCCCGCGCCTCAGCAGCATCCAGGAGGAAGACGAGGAGGAGGACCAGGACTCGGAGGAGCGCCAGGAAGAAGCGCCCCCGTCCGAGAGGCCCGAGGTGCTCAGCCTGACCCGGGAGCTGAGGACCTGCAGCCTGCGGGGCGCCCCAGCGCCTCTGCTGCCCGCACAGCCCCGCCGCTGGAAGGCCGGCCCGAGGGAGCGGGCGGGCCAGGCGCGCTGAGGGCGGACGCAGCAGGACTCGCGGCCCCGGACCCCGCCGGCCTGACTTCCAGCCTCCACCCCGGCCCTGCCCGCTTGGCTCCTCCCTGGTCCCCCGGCCCTTGCGTCCCTCGTGGTCTCCGTTGTTGTCTGCTCTGCGCCTCATCCTGGCTCAGGGTGATGCCTCATTCGCCCTTGATTATTGGGGGACAAATTGGGGGAAGGAGTGTTCATTGTTCGCCTCTTCCTCCATCCGGAGTTTCTGGGCGCCCTCCATTGTGGAATTGCCTCCTACGCTTTACACCAAGTCTCTTTGGTAAACCCAAAACATCCTCTCAAGAGAAGGGGGGAGAAGTTTCTAGAAATCCAGGAGGGTGGCCTTGGACCTTGACCAGGTGGACGCAGTAGCCTTGCCCTTGGCCAGTCTAGCCTTTCTCCCTGGGATGAAACCGATCCTGGTGAGGCCTTCTTGTCGGGGAAGAGCAGGGCCCTGGAGAGCTGAGGCCAGGCCCGCGGTGGCAGCTGAGTTTGCTGCCATACACACAGGGAAGAATTTTCGGGCCCTATGCCTGGCCTCTCTACCCCTTGGAGGACTCCTGGGACTTTACTGCTCTGCCTCTGGAGAAGACCGGGATGGTCCTACCAATCCAAACAGGAGGCCAGGCCGGATGACGGCGCTCTGCACCAAGCCTGTGCCCTGGCACCTGGCACCCACACAGGACTGCTCATCCACCCCCCATCTGCAGACAGAAGCGTGTGGTGCCCCACTAGGTGCCCCACAACCAGGACCGAGACAGGGCCTCTAGAGGAGGTAAGGAGGACCTTTGGCAGGTGCTTGGGGACACTGATTACCCAGAAAGAGGACACAGGAGGGATGGCCCCAAGCCGAGGTTTGTCAGAGCAGGAAGTTCCCGGTGGCAGCTGGATTCTCAAAGCAGGATGAGGAAGGAGGGTGCATTGTCCCCGCAGAGGGGCGGGCCCCTGCCCAGGTGTCTGTCAGCAAAGCCACGAAAAGCCCAAAGATCTCTGTGTCACCAACTAACTGGTCATTGTAAATAAAGTGGACCTGCTTTTTCAGCCTCGTCATCATTCCTGTGTTGTGTTTGATGCCAGGCCTGCTGGGGGTGAAAGATTATCGTCAGAACCCTAAAGGAAGGGAGAAGACCCCAGGAAGAGGCCCGTTAGCAGCTGGAGTCAACTGTCAGGATGGGGCGGGGGTAGGGGGGCTGCTGCCAGGAAGCTGTTCCCTTCATGTCAGGGAACCGGACAGCAGCAGGTGCCTTGTCTGCAAGTCACGTGTGTCGGGCCCCAGAGGAGTGCCCACTGTCTGTCTCGGCCTCCCAGAACGTCTCTCCTCCTGGGCACTCAGATGCAAGTGTCTCTGGGACATTTGGCAGGGAGAGAGCACTGGGCAGGGAGCTTCTCATCGGCTCTGTATCTTCGAGAAGATTCCTATGTATGTCAAAACCTGCGTTATATGGTATGTGTCCTCGGGTCTGAGAGGAAACACGGCGTATAACACGTATTGTTTTCAGAGGAGCTGGGGACATCTGTCCAGACCTTTGGGACAGCGTGCATCTTGAACTTGGATAACTTCTTTATTCTGGTGCGAGCTGGGCATGGATCCCAGAGTTACCCGGAGCCCAGATGAGTAGCCTCTGCAGTCACCAGTGGTGATGATTGCTCTCTGTCCTGGAGCTGCTGGGACAGAGGGCACCACGGCCACTTCTCCCTGGTGGAACCCAGGCAGGGTCAGGGGGCTTTGAAGGGGAAAGCTGGGGTGGACTTCGCACTTCCTGGGTGGGGAGGACCCGCCGCACAAGGATGCCCTGCGTGGTCATGGCTGCCTCTGACGTACTGACAGGGGCTGTGTTGGTGCTGCTCTGCGTCTGCAGGAAAAAGGAAGTGGTAAGATGTCAGACCTGAGAGGGGGAGGATGGAGGGACTGTGGCCAAGGCAGCCTCTGGTGTCTGAGACAACCACGCCCAGAAACAAGGTCACAAGCATGCCCTCTTTAATGAGGCTCGCACCGCAGATATTTACTAGGTGCCCGCCTTGGGACAGGCACTGAACTAGGCACCGGGGCCCTGGGCACCCCTCCTTGTGGCTCCTACGGTCTCAAGTGAGACACGCAGGATTAAAGGAGCAGTTCCATAAAATCATTCCCAGACACCCAGCCTCAGCTCCTGTTTCCCGCTTTTCTCTGGCAGCCCCCCAAAACACACACGCACCAATACACACACACACAGAGCCACCTCCTTCCTTCTCTTGCTCACCCTGTGCTCTGTAGACCCAGAGTTAGAAGGCCCATGTGAGGGGACCGACCGTCCGCCTCCTCACCACCTGTGTGACGTTGAGCCACTCACTCAGCCTCTCTGAGCCTCACCTTTGTCGATGGTAAAATGGGGAGAATATCTACTGTGCAGGCTCATTGGAAGAATTAAATAGAGTTGGTCTTTGAAAATGCTTTGGTAAATAATAAAATGCCCAGCACATGTGGAGAACAACCATTTTACCCAGAGAGCCTTTCTCTGTAGATTAGGATTTTACTGGGCCTTCCCCGGACTCCCCGCTCCCTGGTAGGAAGGGACCCACCCGGTCCAGCTTCCCTCCCCCTGTGGATTGAGAATGAGACAAGCCACAGCACAATGCCAACTGCCACCAGGTCACAGAGTCACGTGTTTGGGGCTGCTCCACCACCGAGGCCCTGGACATCACTGCTACCAAGAGAGGGGAGACAAAACCACGCCCGCCTCCACCTCCACTCTTAGTCTGGTTTTCTTCCCTGATCTTAGACCAAAATGGAGAAGAGCCCTGAGCCATTGGTCAAGAAGTCTAGTGCTCCTTCATCTCTTCTCCCGACTTCAGATCCCCCCCCTGCAAAATGAAAACTGGGGGACGGTGGACCAGTGGTTTTCAAGCCGTGTTCCTCTGCATCCCCGAGTTCCTGGGGGCGCCCTTGGAGCCGCTGTGGGAGTGATGGGAAGTGAAATGGGAGGGTCCCCAACCTGCTTTCACTGGAGCAGCTTCTCCGTGTTCTCTTTGGGGTTCCTGTGATGCTCTTTGAATGATGGATCCTACAGATGTGTCTTTTCTTTTTAACTTTTAATTTTATTTTTTAGAGAGGACAGGAGGGAGGAGGAGAGGGAGAGAAACAGGAGAGTCTGGGGTCGACGCAAGACAGAAACATCGCCCGGTTGACCTCTGTAGGCACCCCGACCAGGGGCTGAACCTGCAACCCAGGCGTGTGCCCTGGCCAGGAATCGAACCTTTGGGTTTGCAAGATGACACTCAATCAGCTGAGCCACACTGATATTCCTCTGTAAGTTTAAATCGCTGGGTGGTGTGCTCACTAAACCTCCCTTCCAGCCCTGACGGTGTGTCTCGGTCCATTGGCCTGACCGGGCCTGAGATGCGGCTGCGGGAGGGTGTGAACATGGCAATGGAGGGCTTTCCAAGGACAACGGATAGCGCAGGACAATGTGGGAAGTGTGTCCCCAATGGGGCCCACCACCTGGGGTCAAGGCTTTTCCCGGGGCCTGTGGGGCCTGAGTTCAGCTCTCTCGATCCAACTCCAGAAGGGCCAGGCCGTGGCTGGTGTGACGGAGCCACAGGGCGCAGCTCACAGACAAATCCGCTGGCCCGCCCAGCAGTGCCGTCCCGGCTCCCCCGGCTCCCCTTCCGCACGTGGGCCAGACAGTGCCCTGTGCCCCCACCGCAAGGCCGTGCCCGTGCCGTTCTCACGGCCCGGAACATCCTTCCTTTTGGCTACGCATTGTCAAACCCTCCCCTCTCTTCAAGGCCCCGCTCAAATTCCACCTGTCTGAATCTTTCCTAAACGCATGCCCCTTCTCCACTCCTGCCAAACCTGGGGATGACCGCCCCTCTCAGAGGCACACGGGCTGTGGCCCGTGCTTCCCTTGTGGTCCTCATGTTTCACTTGGGGTGACCCTTTTTATGTAACTGTCTCATTTCTCATACTGATCCATCTTCCTTTGCCCGCTGCCTCCAGCACCTTGACCGTGGCAGGGCAGAGCGTCCGTGCTCCACGACAATTTGTTGAATGAATATGTGAATGAATGAGCCAGATGGAAGGGCCATGATGAAACAGGAAAGTAAGTGGGCGGAGAAGCGCTCCCTCTGCCAAGCTTCTGCCTGGAGATGCTGAGGAGCTATCCTCAGGCGCCCTGTTCAGACAGATGGCTGTTCTTAGGGAGAAAATCTATAACCAAAGAGATGAGGCTTGGGGACGAAGCTGAGGCCACTGTCCACAGCTTCTATTTGGAGTTCCAAAGCCTCAGGACGGTGCCTTCCCACCCCCTGAACTAGTCCAGCCCCCAGCACAGGACTGATACTCAAAATACAGGGCAGCTCCTGGCAGTGGCCAGCCAGCCTCCAGCTGCGCAGCGGGGCAGCAGCAGGGCCGTGCAGATGGCTGCGGGCTCCAGCGCACAGGTGGTCCGACGTGGCTGGGCTTGGGCCTCAGACAGACCTGAGTGCCGGTCCCAGCGCTGCCGCCTGATGGCTATTCAACTTTAAATAGGCTTCCGAAGGCCTTGGTTTTCCAACTGTAAGAAGTAAGAACGGGCGTAGGTGAGTGAGCCTAGACCTTACACCGTTACTGGGAGGATGAGGGAAGGCGACACATGTGCACAGTTGATCTGGCACAGCACTCGACGTGCCCAGGAAGTGGTAGCTGCTGCTATTGGACATTCGTTACTATCATTTTACCCGGACCTCCGCTAACGGACAGCTCTGGGGTGAGGACGCCGGGTGCCCGATCTCCAAGACACCACCCGTGTTGCTTGCTCCTGCCCCAGGAGGCTCCGTGCCTGGAGTCCCGTTCATCTCCAAGTCACGGAAGAGGGTCCGCGGCAGGTTGTCTCATATTTGTCTCCAGTTGGTCAGCCGACCTCAGCCTGATCACCTAACACTAGATTAGAGTCAATATCTTACGCTTTTTGTGTATCCTTTTCATTTGAGCACCCAGCACAGTGCCAGGCACACAGTAAAGCACCCAGAGGTGAAGGAAGGAAGGAAGGAAGGAAGGAATGATTAGCTGCTGCCAGCTGCAATGCTGGCCTGTGGCCTCCCTGGCCCAAGTCTTCAGGAAGTCGGGATGCCATTCCTTTGTGAGTGAGGGATCAGCTTCCCCCTCGCCCCCAGCCCTGTGTGCCTTTAGCTGTAGGCTATGGAGAAAAAGAAGATGCCGCTGGCTTAGGGACCAGCTGGTCCCCAGGGAAGGACGGCTGACAAGGATTGAGGGGGCTGACAAGCAAATCTGGCGAGTCTCTGAGCCAGAACTGTCCTCTCTCTCCCTCTGAGCCACTGCCTGCCTGTCTGTAAAGCACGTATGGGTTTGTTGACTGACCCAGGACAACTGAGTTTCATCACCACTCAGCTTAAGAGCAGGAGGGACGTTGGGCGGGTGAGGGATTACAGGGGAAGCTGGAGCTGGAGCCATCACCAAGGAGACCTCGGCTGGGAAGACGGGGCCAGCACTGCTCACGCTGGAACCCTCGACACGAAGACAATTCTCAGGTGGACCTTGTTTTTGCCTACCCAGCACCCTTCCTTCCTCCCCACAAACTTCATGGTAGAGATTACTTCCTCTTCCTCCAAGGCACGCGACTAAATCCTCTCTTTCCCCCCTGCACGGAGGTGTGGTCATGTGACTGGCATTCCCAGGCGTGGACTGCGCAAAATGTAACCTTTATTTTATTCTCCTGCCTACCTGCTGAATGTCCTTGGAAGCTTCGCGTTGAGGGGGACAATGCCCGCATCAGCCTGGGTCCCGGGATGGCCACAGCAAGTAGAGTCCTACCCCTACCACTAATAGGAGCAAGAAATAAAGTTTTACGGTGTTAGCCGCTGACAGTAGGGCTGTTTGCAGCAGCACCTGGCTGCAGTGACCAGCACACTCTTTGTGACCCACTGCAAGGATGCTCCTGGTGAAACCACAGCTCCCCACTCTTGGTTCCCAGGGTTCTAGCAGAGCTGACTGCACACACAGGGCTCCTGGGGGAGAGGGGAGGACATGTGATCCAGGCCTGACCCAACCCATCTCCTCAGCCCCCGGAGCTGGG